GTGAAATAATTACGACCGGGACGATTAGTCAAAAAGGCGGTTATGTCGTCCGGGATGATAAGACACAGGCGATTATCCCAAAGAGTTATGTTGGATGACCATTGAAAAAGTAGATCGTCCAGGATGATTAGGTGGATCTTCTAGGATGATCGATAATAATTGATCATACCGGCCAAATTTAAAATATGTACCAAATTTTTTTACATGGATTAGCCAGGACGAACAGGTAGATTATCTAGGACTATCACCAATAATTGAGCAAAAATTATGAAGATCGTCAAGGATGAAGAGGATCCTCTAGGATAATCACAAATAATTGAAGCAGAAGACAATCAGATCATCCAAGATGATAATGAATCATCCAGGATGATCATAAATAGAGAAGTCATATCAACCGTTAGATGGAATTTTAAGAGTGGATTGAAGGTATCGTCCAGGATGATGTGACTAAAGATCAAAAATATGGAGATGGATGGAGATGATCAGAGAAGGCCCAAAACATAAAAAAACAACAGTAAAATATAAAAAATAAAATGCAAAAAAGATAATAAAAAAACAAAAGAAACAAAAACAAAGGTTTTTTTTTAATCAAAGAATGAAAATGATAAATTCTCCACGTTATTGAATTTAAAAAATTTATAAGAATAATGAGTTAACATCGTCAAAATTCGAAAATGGTAGAATAGCCGATCCTGTTAACCCTAGCTCAGACTTCTCTCAGGGCAAATCATCTTTTGAAAACAAAAGACCTAACTCAGAAAAATTAATTGGATAAAAAAAAGAGACCAGTTCAAAACTTTGTTCTAGAAAAATATCTTATAGAATAATATACCAAAGTGATTTGTCACAATCATGAAATTCGAAATCAAGCCTTTGAAAATATCAAGTGACACATAAATTCTTCTAAGATTTAATGGTTTGAAAGAGAATGAACTTTCCTTTTATGGGCTCATTTTATGCCCCTTGTTAATCGATTAGCACACTTTATGCATCTTTTTATTTTTAAAACACTTTGTGTATCTTTCAAATTTTTTTGGTGGTCATTACTCATCTTTTCTGTTTTTTTTTTTTTGGCTTATTTTATGCCCTTGACATTTTTGCAAGCAAGATCCCTTTCGAAACTCTTAAATACTCTTAGTTATGAGTATATCATACAGATATTAGAGAAGAAAAACTCACTCTCTAATATAAGAAAGAATGAACCACAAAATAGAATCAAATTCATATGATAAATGCAATGACAAGATTATGAAATTTTGAAAGTAATATAAAGACTTTGAAAATTATATATATAAGATAGATTACTGTAGAAAGATAGAAAAGATCTCAATCGTCCAGATGTTAATTTGAAATAGACTTTTATTTAGAAAAGAAAATTATACTACTATAAGTGATTAGAGGAAGGAAAATAATCAACAGTGTTTCTCCCTTAAACTTATTTAGGGATGTCAGACATTGACTATAAATTTTCAAAAACAAAAATAAGGCATGAAATATAATTTCAGCTATGACGAAAAAGAAAAACAAAAAGATAACATCAGAGATGAAAATACTACAAAATAACAGCAAATAAAAAATCAACACTCAAAATAACTAAAAGAAATAATTGAAAATAACAACGAGCAATAGATCAGAAAATATACAAATCATATTTTATTAAGCAACAAGTTCATGCAATTATGTGTCCTCCGCTGTCCAGGTACCACATGCTCTCATGTTTGGCCTTTTATGAGAGCACCTCTACAAAATCATCAAACATCAGATTTAGGAACCTAAACAACTTTGGGTCCCTTATTATGGAAAGAAGAAAGCGATGCATATGTGTTATGTTGTGAATCATGTAATTTTGATCTCCACACCCAATGTGTACTATAGTGAACAGTACAAGTGTGTGAAATGTGTCTTAGCATGCCACATGAAAAACATCTAATACCAAGAAAAAAATTTATTAGTCTACTCGGGTTATAGTACCTCTTCCTAGGTTTCAAAACTTTTGGCTTTGGATTAGGATTGAAAAACTGTTCAGGTGTGGGTGGACTTCTATTTTCCTCAAGTGCTTTCAATTCAGCTTTAAACCTCAAGTTAGCATTTTCTAAAATGACGTTGTCAACTTTTAAATAGTACTCCCTATATTCAGAATCATCTATATATATTTTAAAATCAGTTTCAAGTGAGGTGTAGGATGCTTTCAATGAATTATGCTCAATGACCAACTCAGAATGCTTTTTATTTAATTTATCAAACTTATGAAGTAATAACATGTGATTGCTATTAAGTGTGGAGTGATCTTTAAAAATAACTTCATGCTCTTTTTGCAAATTTATAAACTCTAATTTTAAACTAGCATGCAATTTCTTAAGTTTCCTATATGATAAATGAATTTTCTCACAAACTTCAAGTAATTGTTCGTAGCTTAGTTCACATACATCTTCTTAGTTAGACTGACCAAGATGATCACTAGCCATCAAGCACAAGTTTATTGTCTCCTCCTCAGCTTCAGTCTTAGAGGAGTCAGATGTAAAAAATGCCTAGAATTCCTTTTAGAACTGCTTCTTATCCTTCCTGAACTTGGCTTACTCCTTACCCTTCTCCTTGCTTGAGTGATCCTTAAGTGTAGAACAATCAGCTTTGACATGTCCAGGCTTCCTACATTCAAAATAAATAATATCAGAAGAACTTTTAAAATTTTTGATGTCCTTACCTTTGTTCCATTTTTTATGGTGATGGTAATTGTTTCTTAGAAAGCTTTTAAATAGCCTAGTGATTAAAGCAAAAACATCACTTTCAGACTTGGAAGAATTAGTATCCATATCATTAGCCTTCAATGTCAAAGTTTTCTCCTTTTTTTGCTCACGTACATTAAGTTGTCTTTGGTTCACTTCTTGCTCATAAGCAATGAGTGACCCAAGTAAGTTATCAATATAATAAGTATCCAAATCCTTGGATTTAGTAATTACAATAATCTTATCATTAAAAGAAGAAGGCAAGCATCTCAAAATTTTGTTAACTTTTTTAGAGTTAATGAGCTCTCTTCCTAAGGCATACAATGCGGTAATAATTTAAGTAAACCTAGTATAGATGTTAGAAATCGATTCAGTAGGTTTCATACGAAAAAGTTCGTAGTCATGCAAAAAAAATATTCAACAAAGATTGCTTAATTTCATTTGTTCCTTTGTAAGTAATACCCAATCTATCCCAATTTTCTTTATCAGTAGAATAAGTTGAAACACGCATGTAATCTTTAGTTTTCAAAGTACAGAAAAATAGTTCAAGCATTTTGCATTCAGTTGCGCTAAATCCCTATCATCAAAAGTTCATTCAATAAAAGGAAGTTTAATTTTAATGCCATTAATTTCACGAGTTGGTGGTGAATATACATCCTTAACAAGCATCTACATGCGATAGTCAATCGATTGTAAAAATGTAGACATGCGAGTTTTTCAAAAATCAAAAGGAATATTATTAAACAAACATAGTTGGGTAATTGAATACCCTTATGTAGTATTACGATTACCAAAGTTAGCTTTTGATCGAAATTCAAAAAATTTCAAAAACTCTTTTTATGAATCTCACTCTGATACCACTTGAAAGTTCTTCAGGGATGTTAAGCCATTATGAACTAGTCCAAAGGCTAATCAAGAGGTGGGGGTGAATTGATATTTAAAAATTTCTCCAAAAAAATCACAAACACAACCAAACAATTACTACAAAAATTAAGGTGTATAAATTAAATGCGAAAAAATAATAAGAAAGAATACACTAGATTTTATAGTGGTTCGGTTAACTTGATCTACGTCCACTCCCCAGAGCTTCTCCTCCATGAATTACACTAAACTCAATCTCTCCTTTTGCCCCAATGACAAGGCGTAAAAGCCCATACAAAAACTCGTTTCCACCGACACTGGTGAGATAGAGAACCCAGCTCATTTTTCTTCCTCCTGAAGCAGGCAGAGAATACAACTCATTTTGCTTCCTCCTAAAGTAGGCAGAGAATCTCCATTAATTGTTGAAGTAGTCCTCTCTCAAACCTCCAAGGAACCAAGGACGACAATCAGAGAAGCTGACTCGGATCCTTGCTTGGAGCAACCTTTGTGAAATCCCTCATAAACTCCCCCTCATAAGATCCTTTCTCTCTCTCTCCCTTGCTCTCCCTCTCCTCTTGGCTCTGTCAGGTCGGGACAGTAATAAAAGATTTTTTTCTTGAGAAAATAAGAGATCTTTTAAACAAGGGATCCAAATTTTCCCTAATTTGTAACTAATCATCAAATATCATCCAGGACGATCGTTCTATCATCCTGTACGATAAGTTCAAATTTAACTCAATTAGCTAGGACGATTTGGGAGAGTCTGGATGATTAGAAGGTTCCATTATTTTGATCATCCAGGATGATATACTGATGTCTCGTACGATTAGTTCAAGTCATTGAATATCGTCCAGACCATCTCCCTTGATGGATGGATGTCTGGATGATAAAAAAGTAACTTAATCATCCAGGACGATCTTATGATCTTCCGGGCCTATTAGTACAAAATGTCACATATCATCTAGAACATCATCCTGGATGGATGTCTAGACGATGAAAAAATAACTAGATTGTCCAGGCCGATCTCACAATCGACTGGGACGATTAGTATAAAACATCACATATTGTCTAAAACATCACTTTTGATGTATATCTAGATGATGAAAAAATAACTAATCGTCCAGGATGATTTTGGATCTTCCCGAACGATTAGTTCAAATTAAACATATCATCTAGAGCATCTTTCAGTTCATCCAGGAAGAATTAAGGTTTGTTTAACTGATCATCCCGAACTATCCTGTGATCGTCTAGGATGATATGATCGAGCAATCATACCTTAATTGCTTTCCTTAATTACCAGACTAATTTAGGCATAATTGTAGTGAGTTGGACCATCTCGGACGATGTCCAAAAATAAAACATGCCTAAAAGGTTGTGGCGGCTGATTCTTTCTTATTTGATCCTATCGTCCCAGATGATGATAATATAATCTAAGATGATTTACTTAATTGCAACTGCCTTAACCAGGATGCCCTAATTAAGGTTTCTATTTTTAACTGATCGACCAGATAATTTGGAATCGACTAGGATGATGTGATCAAAAATAAAAAACATTCAAAGTAGACAGAATTTTTCCATGCGCATGTGTATCCTGAGTTGAATTGATTTGCACTCGATTTTGTGGACCTGAAATATTAGTAGACAAGGCAGTTGTAGAAAATAGAAATTTTTTCTATCATCTAAATTATATTCCCTAAAATTAGATTCGTAACATCTCTATTTCGACACTTCATTGGCATCCACTCCAGCTTGCAGCCAAAAAGCTATTTGGAATCTGAAATCATAAAATGAAGAATATGAATATGTTGATATATTTTATTCATGCAACTTCAAATAAGTTAAAAAAAAAGTGATGAACAACATAACACACTATTCCTTATTCTAGAAAGACAGCAGGATCAAACATCAAGGGAGATATAGGAGCGTACTTAATTAAGATATCAAATTGATAAACAAGCCTAAAATTTTAAGAAAATCTTAATCATTTTAATAAAGGCTTTAAATGAACAACAATGTGCTATTACTAACAAAAAAAAATCTATACAATAACAAAATCATATTGTTGCCTATGATAATTAGAGTAATTTGCCAGATCAAATCCCATGGTTTAATGAGAGATTTTGAGAAAATCTTATTTATTTTCACTTTGATTTAGGTTTAGCTAAATTAGAGTGGACCTGAACAGTGGTCTCAATGGCCTTGGTGCACTGAGGTAATAAGAAGAATTGATTCCAGTTTCTTGATCAAATGGTATCTCTCTCTCCACTTCTAGCCTTTGGCTCAGCCCCATTTCTAACTGTCGTTGCCCTTATCCTGCAAAATATTTCACTTCATCAATACTGAGTTAAAAAACATGATTGATATCTTATTTTAATGGTCACCCAACAAATTAATTCACTCACCACAGTTTGCAAATAATACGTCGAAAGTGGAAGCTAACACTTTTAATCCTTTCTTTAGTTATTTATTAGGGAGTTTAAAGGATCCAATTTATGGGTTTATAATCAACCCGATCCTTTTAATATTAGGGAGTTTAAAGGATCCAATTTATGGGTTTATAATCAACCCGATCCTTTTAATAGCTTTAAATTGTGACCAAATCAAAAATCATGAAAAAAATTTCAATCAACCAAGAAGATCCACCAGAAAATCCATAATCTACAAGCAACAAACACCAAGAAATTTCATAAACTATAAAAGGCAAACCAAAGACAACTAACAAAAAAAAAGGATCTATAAAAGAATGAGGAAACAAATCAACATATACAAACCAATAAATAACAACACATATATCATAAAATATAACCCAAAAAATAGCAATCCACATAGAACAAAACAAGGAAAGAAAGATTTCATCATTGGGTAAGGAAATGAAAGGCAATTACATCACATATGTAGTATCTCTGAGTCTCTACCTCAGCTTTTTTGACATTTTCTTCAATCAAGTCAGCAGTTTCCAAGGAACAAGAGAAGCTCGGAATAAGTTTGAACATGTTAGAAGTTTTGAAATGAAAAACTATTTATAAGAGATCAATAAAAGATGCCAACTCCATTTCGAAGAAATAAACAATGAGCCATTTGTAGTTTTATTGCAATTCTTTATTAAATTATAGTGTTCATGAATGAAAAAGCATGAGCATGGTAGATGTTTTCGCCTAAATTTAATAAATGCTAGAGCATTAAAAGGCCGGATGCAGAACTTGTATGCATTTTGGCCTAAATCTGTTCATGACATAATAAAAACATAAGATATTATTTCAAAAAAAAAATCTTCATGAATTTAAATAAGAAATACACTATTGTACCAAAACATGAAAAAATGATTCTGCACGGAAGCCGAATCCTGTCCGGATACCTAAGCCCGCGGCTCAGAACCGTGGGTCAGTATCACTAATGTGGCCCATTCTGGTTGGTATTCGGATGAAAATCATCATTCGACATCCACACATAATAATCTCTCCAAAACATGTACATGTAGAGAAGCTAATAATGCCAAAGGATCAATGAGACTACAATAACGTATCTACTACATCAGGCCAATACAACCTAGGAAAATTCAACACATAAATAAAATTTTGCATTTACTAAAACAATTTAAAATTGTATAAATAATAAACATTGAAATGCTTAGCATCATAAATATGAAATTAATATTTCCTGCAGAAGTAAGCAAAATAAAATATCAAGAAAAACATTTAAAGGCTCAAGTAAAAGACAAGGGGATCAATTTCTTATATCATTTTTATGAGCTTTTTTATTTGGATGATTAAACTAGGACATTTGAAATAATATAAATTTACAAATAAGATAAAGTTAAGCTACAGGAAGGCTTCTATGCGATAATAATGCAACAAAATTGGCTAAGCATTCCTCTCTCAATGAAAAAAGAAAATTAGTTACAAGAATGCGTCTATGGGATAAACATCAAAACTAGCTATAGGAAACTAAGTTAAATGTGTATTGGAATATCAAAAAAAAAAAAAGCACCATTAAGGCCCAATCAATGAAAAGGTTTAAGGTAGGTAAAGTACACCTAAATACCCTGGCTATAAATTATTTTTAAAATTGCACAAATTGGAACTAAAACCTCAATCTGAAGCTCAACATTAATTGTTAAATAAATATGCAAGATTCACACATCTAACGTTTGTTGGGATGAACATAATAATGATAATAATTATACCCATTCTATATAAATACAAATGTAGGCATACCTTGCACCACCAATTCCTAACAGTTTTGTCTCTCTCTACCATCTCTAGTGCAAGGCCATCAAGCCCCTTAATGTACCATCTCCTCTCTTTCAACCTATTTCTGTGCTCATTAGATTGCATAAATGAAACATAGCTTCCCTATCATTGCTCCACAAAATAAATAGCCTCTTCTTTTGCCTCAACAACAACTCCCTCATCATCCATGTTAATCACCATCACCTTCGCCTTCCACTTTCTCCTCACTCAACTTTGCCAGAAGATTCAACACTTGTCTCATCTCATTCCATCCGCATACCAAATCATAAAACCCACTCTTTGGAACAACCAACAACCGATTATCCCCTTCCTCCCAAATAATACACTTACCTCCTTTAGCTATTATCACGAACTTGAACTCCGCTGTCTTACCCCCTCACAAATGCAGAATGCGCACAGCTTAAAAGGCAACGAGAAAATTTACTTGATGCGGTCGCGATCGGGATTGAATGAATAGGGCAGTAAATTTGGAGTCATAGGCACATAGATCGCACACAACTGAATGAATAGGGCACCGAACAGACTTGAGCAAGATGAAATAATAACTAGCAGTCATCGGAACATAATGCACAATCACCTCTATTTGTGCCAAATATTTTTATGCCCTAATTTATATTTTTAAAAACAATTAAATAAAAGTGTCATAATGTAAGTGTGGTTAAAGTTTTTTTTTTTTTGTAGTGACATTTCAATGATCGATGCTCTGAAACTTATTTTTTTAAGACACCAATGTTAGGGCACTAAATTATGGGGCAATGGTGTCGAGAGGCACTGCGGCGCTGAACTTGGCTCCACTGAGGAGTTGATTTTCCTTTAAATTCTTGAGAGGTCAACATTCTAATGTCGAAAATTGGTGCTGGGGTGTTATAGATATTTGTGCTGTGGTGGTTAATTTGTGGCCGCTACGGTGCTCATTTAACACTCATGAATTTTTTCCTTCTCATAAATATTTTCTACATGATTATAATTTAAATAACATATTTTTATGAATTTAAATACAATAAATAATACATAATTTACACTTAATAAATTTCCACTAGCTAAACTCTTACTTGTCCTTGACTAATGGTGAAATCACCTATTGACTAACATAATAGCAAAGTAAAAATTGAAAATTTAAAATTACTAAAATATAAGATAATACATCATAGTGTAGAAGTAATTTGGAATTATCAAAGTTATAATTCTAATTTAAAAGGTCATAATAATTATCTCAATCAGTCACCCTTACCATCACTTGTATTGAACCTATCCACAATTAGTGTGTGTAAGATTGACTTCTGATTTCAAAAAAAAAAAAAAAAAAAAGAATTAGTTGTGCTTGTAATTAAATTGAAAGTTCATTAGTGTGCAATTGTATATATTAGTTCACTTATCTTATCATATTTTATTTAAGTATTAGGGTACATTTTGATTTGAGCTTCAATAAATACTAATATTTAAATGCACTCATCTTTTTTTTTCCTTTTTCACTTTTTCTTTAAATATTTCTCCTATTTTTTCAATCCTTTCATACTTGTGGAGTAAAAATTTAATGGTTTTTAATATCAATTTTGTTGAAACTTGTTAATTATGAATTAGGTTGTTAGACCTAAGCTTATGTCTCAGTGGCTAACTAAGAGGGAGGTGAATTGGTATTTAAAAATTTTCCTCTTATATTTTAAACCGATAAATATCTTATAGTGAAATTTTCTTCAAAAAGATTTTTCAACCACAAATAAATAGAAAATAATAAAGTAAAAAAGCAACGAAAAATAAAAAGACAATATTTATAGTGTTTCGGTAAAACACGACCTACATCCACTCCCTGAAGTCTCCCACTTCAGGTATTGCACTATTACCACTTAGTGTGTCTCATTTTGCACCCACAGCAAGGCGGAGAAGCCTTTACAAAAACTCTCTTCCACCACTACCCGATGCGGTAGAGAAACATCATCCTTTTACACCTTCCAGGTGTAGGCAGAGTACCTTTCGGTGTTCACACTCTCTATGTGTAGGCAGAGAATCTTCCCGCTGTTCACACTCCAAGTGTAGGCAGAGAACCCTTCGTCCTTTCACACTTCTTCAAGTGTAAGCAGAGAACCTCTTACTGTTCACACTCCTCGAGTGTCGGCAGAGAATCGGATCTCCTTGAAAAGATCTTCTCACGAGAAATGTGGAAGGACAAGAGAAAAGAGTGAAGTAATCACAATTCACAAATGAGGATCCTTACCTTTGAATACCAAGTGAATCCTTCACGCTCCAGTAGTAAGAAATCTCCTTCAAACACTCTGTCACACTCTCTCCTTCAATCTCTCTTCAATTTGTATGAAGATCAGTAGACAAAAAGATTTTAAGACAGACTAAAGTGGACCTTTTATATGATAGACACAAAAAATCATCCAAAAACTGCAATTTTTCAAATTTGTGCGTACTCGATCGTCCCATATAATCGAATTTCATATGTACGAACAGTGTAAAAACTATTACGTATGAACTCAATATGCATTGTATGAAATTCCTTCATACCCGATCATTATCCTGTATGAACATAGTTCTTTCGGTAACAATAGTTATTTCAAAGGTTTGTTGGGACAAAAAATAGGACGAATCACAAGTTTAAAGCATAGAGAATACCATCCAAGGAAGAAGGTGTCGATTCATCTGGACAAATAGAATAAACTAAAAATCCAGAGGAGATTATCCAGAGAGGAATGAGACTATTCATCTAGATGAACAATTCAAACTAAAAATCCAGAGGATATCATCCAGAGATGAATGGGACTATTCATCTTGATAAACAGTTCAAACTGAAAATCTAGAGGAGATCGTCCAGAGATGAATGGGACTATTTGTTTGGACGAACAGTTCAAACTAAAAATCCAGAGGAAATCATCCAGGGACGAATGGGACAATTCATCTAGATGAACATCACTTAGAAAAATTTTTACTCACCCTCTATTTGTTCCATTTGCTCCTTGAGGTGTATAACTGATTTGATCATCCCATACAAATATAGTTCATCTTGTACGATCAGTATTACAAATTATGAATTTTAAAGTTCTCCCTCGGTATGTGTGTGCTGAGTTACTTAATTACAATCACACTCTCACTGACTCAAGTAAAATAAATGCATACTCCAAGTTACAAAAAAAATAACAAGCAGCTCTGTGATTTGAAGTCTTCAACAATGTGGAGTATGATTTTCCTAAAATTTTAGTACACATAAGAGCCAAAAAATTATTCTTCTAAAATGTGTTAGGAGAAAGTAATACTCAAAACAATAATACTTGGAATCATCAAAATATATAAGTTACAAGAATGTGAAGCATAAAAAGCCAAGTAGCAACTCTCTCAAAAAACTCCCCCTTTTTGATGATGGTAAAATAATAATTATTATTTGTATAAATTTCAAATTCCTAAGTTTCTCCTCAACTACCCCTGAATAAATAAGCATGTTAGAATAAGGGGCCTATTTGTTATTTGTTTAACTAATCCAAAATTTTATTTTTTTATAAAAAAGTACAAACACAAAACACAAAAATATGAACAACACGCTAAAACACTTACGAATTTCAAATAATATTTCTCCCACTTTTTGACAACAATAAAAAGAGAAGAAGAGACAAATCAAACTAATCCAAAAATATAAGAAGTCATATAAAAAACCTTTGATAATCAATCCTTTAAAGATTGAGTTATATTTGCAAATAGAAATTAAATATCATTAGAGAAATAGAAAGATTCATATGATTTAAGTATAGATATAACATAGACAAGAAAAAAAAAAGTATCAAAATCATGAATCAGTTTAGACAATGAAAAAGAAAAATTATTGCAAAGTAGATGAATAAAAAAATTTTATATTTCAAAATTCAATACAAAATAAAATTGTATAGAAAATTATTTTGAATTTAAAGATTAAAAGATTGAAAAAAGAGCATATACTTGTGGCGCTTTGCGCATCTTTACAATTTTTATGGCACACTTTGTGCATCTTTTTATTTTTGGGCTAATTTTATGCATCTTTTTTAATTTGCGAATTATTGCATATTCTCTTGATATTTTGTACATTTATACATTTTCAAGTGTATTCTTGATCTTTTCAAAATCAATAGTCTCAAAATAGTATATTATGCATGGATGATATCAAGATAGGATAACTTTTATTGATATCATTGGTAGAAAATAGTACATTGTGCATGGATGATATCAATACAAAGACACAAATACATAAACACATAAAAACACATACATAAAATCACAAAATCAAAAGACACACAAAAAAAATATTAATATTACAGAAACATTTAATTAAGCATTCAAGTCAATCACACCAAGCCTTGTTCTTAATGTATGGAAAGTATTAAATGCTAGTGGTTTAGTAAAAATGTCTACAAGTTAATTTTTGGTTGATACATGATTGAGTTTAATTTCTCCTTTGGTTACATAATCCCATATAAAATGATGCATAATATCTATATGTTTGGTTCTTGAATGTTGAATAGAATTTTTAGAGATAAAAATGGAACTAATGTTATCACAATAAAAGGGAATTATGCCTATTGTTAATCCTAAATCAATCAACTGTTGTTTCAACCAAAGTACTTATGCCACACAACTTCCTAAGGTAATGTATTCATCTTCAGTAGTAGATAGAGCTATTAAATTTTGTTTTCTATTGTACAAGGAGACTAAAGAATTTTTAATGAATTGACATGTTCCAGAAGTACTCTTTCTATCAACCCTACAACCTACAAAATATGAATCTAAATATCTAATTATTTCAAATGAAGAGCTAAACTTAGAATACCAAATTACTAAGTTCTGAGTTCCCAACAGATACCTTAAAATCCTTTTCACAGCTGTTAAATGTGATTCTTTTGGATCTGATTGAAATCTAGCACATAAACAAACACTAAATATGATATTGGGTCGGCTAACTGTCAAGTAAAGCAAAGATCCAATTATCCCTCTAAATTTCTTTTGATCAACAGATTTTCCCTTAGGGTCCTTATCCAGCTGAACTGAGGAACTCATAGGTGTATTAACAGATTTAATATTGTCAATTTCATACATTTTGAGGATGTCCTTAACATACTTTGACTAACCAAGAAATATACCCTCCTTAGTTTGCTTAAGGCTAAAGCCTAAAAAATATCTCAAATCTCCCATTAGACTCATTTCAAATTCACTACTCATTATTTTATAAAAATTATCAAAAAGATTTTTATTTGTAGATCCAAAGATGATATCATGAACATAAATTTGTACAATGAGTATTTCCTCTTCCAATTTCTTCAAAAAGAGAGTTGTGTCCATACTTCTTTTTTTAAAATATCTCTCAAGTAGGAAGATGCTCAACCTCTCATACCAAGCCCTAGGTGCCTGTTTTAATTTATATAATGCTTTTTTTAATTTAAACACATGATTTGGATGTTTAGAATTTTCAAAACCTGGAGGTTATTTCACATACATCCTCTTAAATTACCTCATTTAAAAAGATACTTTTAATATCCATTTGGTGCAATTTAAATCCTCTAAAATAGGCAAAG